GGAGCGGGCAGCCCCGCTTAGTTTTTACGTCAGGGCTCGGGGAGAAGCCCCCACCCCCGGGGCCCCGGCCGCTGCTCTCGGGCACCCGGCCCTCCCTCCTTCCCTTTGCGGAGCTGCCCCTGCTGCAAGGGTGCTCCGCACCTCTGCCCCGCCTGTCCTCCTCTCCCGGCGGACCCCGGCCCTCCTGGGGGCCAGCCAGGCAGCCGTGATGCCTCAGGCCGGGGGGAGGCAAGCTGTGAGCAGGGAAGAGTAACAGACCCAGGCACTTGGCAAAGCTGCAGCCCTCCCTATGCTCCCGCTCCTAGCTGGAGGGAGCCAAGGGTGGAAAGCAAGTCCCCACTTTGGAGCCTAAGTTGTCTGTACCTGGCTCAGTGCCCAGTCATGTTGCTTGCTGTGCTTGGCTTCTGGAGGTCCCTCCAACCCAGAGTGGATTCTGTGTGGCACAACTAGAGATATCTGCTGGCTAGGGCTCAGCTTATACAGGAGCAGGTCCAGCTCTCATGGGAATTAAAACAGAGACCCAGAGAAGAGCAGAGTCCTAGAAGAAAGCCAGTAAAAGCATTAACTGCAGCAGTGGGGCTGAGCTGCTCACCACACCTCAATTCATGCCACTTTAGGTAAAGTAAAGCACACCCTCCAAAAGGAGAGGGCCCTGGCTATGTTTTCCTTTGCGGGAAAAAGAAATAATTACGTGGTCTATTATTGTTGCACCTTCTCTCTGTGAGGTTCTCAGCTAACACCCCTCTCCACTGCCACCTCCTTGGAACAGCTGCAAAACCTCTGTACGCGTTAGGGAAACAGGCCACGCTGGGAGGCAAGTGGAAGAAAGCCTTTGATGAAAGGGCCATCTCCTGGTACATGCAGTGCTGAGAGGAAAGCCTGAGCTCAACTCTGCAAGTGACAACTCTGTGTTCACTGTTTCTGCTGTAACTGCCCCCTCACATGCCTAAAACATACAACTCAAAGAGCTGGGGCCCCAGGAACAGGCTACTAACCAGCATCAGGGGTAACTTTTTCAGCACTAGCAATTTGAAGCAATAGGGAGGGTGAGGCCATTCTTTTTTCATAACTCTCTGTAGTCCGTAGGCCAAACCATGTAGCACTCTGCTAGCTGAAGCCAGTGCAGCTGCACCAGTCCATACCAGCTGGGCAGTAGCTCATTTTCCTCAAGACTTGCACTGGCAGTTCCCTTCTGTCTTCCCACTTTGAACTATAATCCTTTCTCCATGAAGCAACTGTGCTTCAGTAGCCCCAGGCTTGTCTATGTTAAAGTCAGTGGGGCCACGCTGGTTTATACCAGCTGGAAAGTTGGCTTGAAACACTGATTTTTTTTCTTAGTCATCTATATCCTTATAATTTACATCTTTCTGTGCATCCAGTCCATGTAAATGGAGAAGCATGTTCCTCTCCTAACTCATGATCTTATGATGCGTCTATGACAATAAACACCTGTTCTTTTCTCCTGATGCTTTATTTCCTCTTCTCAATGAGCAATCCATGTGAAAGTGTATTTTGTGTAAGTAATGTTACTTTTTAACAAAAGCAAAAGGAACTTTTTGGAGGTGAGAGAACATCTGACCAGAACCAATGTAGGTAACTGTATAGTAGGACTTTGGCAAATTTGCAAATGTTCCATTTATTTC